GCACATAAAAAAAAATGATCTAAGAGGCTAAAACTGTCGCAATTGCTTTGATAAATTCCCTCCACTGTATATATAAATGTAAATTTTTGGTACACACTAGGATTGGATGTACTGTATATACTTGCCTCAGGGCACCTTTGCATGACAACAATGTCACCTTCTTCACTATAGCAGATGATATATCAATAAAGCAGCTATATTACGATTCATGGCAGCGTTCCAGTGTATGATACTGTATTTAGTGAACTCTATCGGCAAAACCAAATTTTGAAACTCTTGTCAAAAGCCACTTTATCATCATTATCCAGCCTGTTAAAAAAAATGTGAAAAAAAAGTCTCATTTCGAAAGGACAGCCGAGCTTTACCAAGCTGCAAATGTGAGTGGAAGAGAAAATTCACGAAACGATAAGAAAAGAATCTGAATGGATGTCATTATTCACACTCAGGTAGAGCTATTTTTTTCTGGAGCGATTATGACACATTACATTATAATGCAGGGTGATCACTTATCCACAGACTTAATAAGAAACAAGCTGACAGCTCCCTCTTACAATACGTGCATTAAAATGTATAGGAACGCACAGCACAATGCCAGGACTTGCAGCTGTAACAATGTTAAAAATAGGCATTGAAAGCTGCATAAATAGACAGTGGAATCGAGGCAGAACGCAGTGTGAATTTGCCGCGATCAAGGAAAACGGTGATAATAAAAAATATAATGAGGCTTTGTCGTTTAACAAATTAGAAAGAAAAAAAATCTCAGTGACACATTTATGTAACTGTCAGAGAGCGCAGAGGTAATTCCGCTTGTAAAACAATCAGCGGGAATGGTTACTTTTCTTTAAATACATCAAACTGGTGAAGGTTTTAAGCCGAACTATTTATTTGCTGTATTAGCCGGGCCAGGCTCACAATGGTTGGAGAGGAAATGTTTTCTGAAAGTCTCAGATAACTTAGGATTTTGTGCACTTGTTCTGGAAAGAGGGATACAAAGGTTTACAGTGTAAAGGAGTGTTACAGGTTTTTTAAAAATGTAACTCTACTTTCCCACTGTAGTATGATAACAGAGGTTCTGTCCTCTAAATGGTGGAAAGTTTTCTCCATCAGGGAAAAGAACTTCTGCTGGTGAAGTGTGGAGGTCATTCGGCCGCAGCGGTTAATGAGGATGGATCTGTTTTTTGAGTAGAGTGGGAGCAAGAAAGGGCAGTCATATGAGTTTGTGCTGCTTCTCATGGAGAAAGATGGCAACTAAGGTGGGCATCAACCATTGATGAGTACTTTTATTTTCATAAAAATGTTGTGCCTGATCTGCTAATCGAGATGTTTTTGTGACCTGCTTATGGTAAGTCTTCAGTAAAGTTTTTAAAGAGGCGCTGACCCATTCAGGACAAAGTGACAATATCTTTGGATAGCCCGCAGCCTTAGTAAGGTATATTGACTCAATTCACCACCTCCCCACTCTGTCGGAGTCCACACTCCATTGCTTTAATGAAGAAGAGTTTCTGGGTATGGGAAAGCATGTGACCTAGCCTATGTAATAGTGCTTAGGCCTGAGAAGGCCAGTTAACAGGTCCGTACACTTTCAGTCCATCAGGTTGTCACCTCCCATACACTGTCACGGGCTGTGATAGCATCCACACTGGTAAGCTCTAACACCGGGTTGAACCCAGGGTAGACTCCTGCAGTGAATTGGTGGCGATGGAGCTTGGATCCTTGAGTAGAGTTTGCTGGGGAAAGATTTAAAGGGTTATTAAACCCTCAGCGTGTTTTTGCATATATCTACTGCTAGCAAGTAGATATATGTGTGCCTGTTATAGGGTGACAATGTTCTGTCCATGTCTCCCAATAGTGCTCCAGCCTTGTTCTGTTGGAGACTACAAGTGACCATGGTCCGCTGTTGTCTCCATTAGGAAACCTGCCCTGAGAAATGCTATGTAGCCATTTAAGGAAAACACACAAAAGAAGCCCCGCTCCTTCATGGCTTAAGAAAGGAATCAGCTGGGTGCTTGCCGCTGGGAACACATCCTCATTCCAGTATGAGCCCATACAAACCAAGGTGTGTTCCTGGGGTGGGACACCAGTGATCTGGTAGAAATTTGAATAAACTATCCCAGCAGAATCCAGTGCGTGGCCAGCTTTTCTTCTGTTTTTATGGGTCATGTAGTCATTGCTAGAGTGTATGTAAAAGGGAAGTTGCTTTAACGGCTTGCCGTCCGCCCGTTGTAAATGGCCACCCGATGGCAAGCTCCCATTGGCGAGTCGCTGTAATTAAACAACTTTTTTTCCCTGCAAAATCAGTTGAATGGAAACAGCCATTACCGGCTGTTACACATACAAGCGATCGGTGGCTCTATGGCTGTCCGATCGCTTGTATGTGCCCTGCACACCCCCTCCCGCAGAGACCCCCGCCCTCAAAAGCACCCTCACCTTCACTCCCGGGCTCCGCTGCCTCATCTGCGGCCCGGGACCAGCTCAGGAGGAAGATGGGAGGGAGGTGATGGGTGATCATCAGCACTGAGATGCAACAATGGATGAAAAAAGGTGAACATAGAATATTTTAAAAAATGGTAGTATGTGCTACACCATGCTTTAGCAAGCCAGAAGTCACCCAGGGTTTACATCTACATCATATACAAATGTGGGGAATTTATTTGAGAGCAGTAAGAGAACCATCCAAGCACTGATATCAGTCCTTCTGATATGTACAGAACAGACTGGCAGCCATTCGCAATAAGCATAAAATGAACATTGCTACTGACACGCAGCATCGGCGGAATCCGTTAAACCAGCTCATGTCATAATTAAAAAGTTGCTGATCTTCCGTGGTAAGACACTGCCGCATTCTGAAAGTCATTGCTTCACAAACGAACTGATGAAAGTAATAAAATATTTAAGAGAATTTTGCTTTGTGTGAAGAAGATTAATTGGGCTGCTCGATACAAAAAGCTTTGATGTGAAGGAAATCAATTTTGGGCGCCGCAACTACAAAGCTTTGGAGGAGCGTTCAATGAAAACTTTGATGGTTATACAACCGATACCGTCACCAGCTGAGGCTGACACCTACCCCGCCAATCTGGGGGAAGCGTCTCGCAACATTTCAGCTGTTCAGTTTGATTTTGAAATGTTTTTTTCTTTGTTTTAAAAACCTTTGAGCTACGAGAATATTGACATCACAGCTGTGAAGAGAGGTGGAAATATGTTTCACCACCTACGCGAGGTGGAAGTAGAGTTGGTACTATCTGCCGCTGAGTCTCTCAGTAGAAGGTTGAAATCCAGCTAATATTTTTTTCCTGTTTGTTCCTCAGGCGCAAGTCTGGTAAAAATGTTTTTGATTGGGGAGAATTTCTCACCTATCCTTGTCACCAGGGCCGGATTTCCCACAAGGCCAACCGAGGCCCGGCCTTGGTGCAGCAAGGAGTAGAGTGGCAGCAGGGGTGTGGAATTCCTATCTACTGATGCCCAAGACATGCAGTCAAGGGCTCTGGGCAGGTTTTTGTTTTTTACATTTAGCCCTGCTTTGGGCAAACAGGACTTGATGTACAGCGGGAAAGCTGCCGCTTGTTTTGTACAAGTGATCTCGGCGATGTTGCCCAGATCACTTCTATGCAGCCTGCATACAGGGGGGAGCATTGAGGAACCTGGCATTGGGGCAGCATAGAGAGTAAATCTGGCCCGGCTTGTCACCAAAACAGGCAATCAAAGGAAATGTATTCAATGGAAATACCAACATTGCTACCAGCCCCTTGTTAGAAAAGTAGGGACGATTTAGAACCTCTGTCTGATTTTAATTATCATCTATGTACCTGTGGAAGATTACCCTTAACTCGGAGACATCCTGCGGGTGGTAAGGTGCCAATGGCACAGCAAGTGGGGGGAAGAGGTGCCTACGCAGAGACAGAAAAAACAATAAAAACCAGACATAGTTGACAGCTTTAAGGCAAGAAGAAGCCAATCTTTACTACTACCGCCATGTAGAACATCAGACAGATGGAGACTCTGGATGAGGACAGGTCCATATTATATGAATAGAAAATTATTTATACTTCGAATGTCTAGTAGAGCCACATAAACGCTGACCGACATACAGTATGTGTACTTCCTGCACTGCCTGTTCCTGCCTCTGAGGTTCCATGCTAAGCACCAGGCCCTCCTTCTTAGCCTGGGAGAATCTGTTTCAGTAGCCACTCACGGGCAATTGGCTAAGGCAACCAAAATGAGATCCGGGACACTCTACTGACTGCGTCCACTTTTAAGCACACCCACAAAATCAGTCCCTCGTTTCAATCAATATTTAAACAGCATACATAATCTGTAACTGTAGCAATAGTCAGATGACCAGTAAAACATCTTCAAGAAAAATCTGATTGGATGCAGGCATTGTTCAGGTATTTTGAGAGCCAGTGGGGCCGACTAGCAAGATATTGAAGCTTGGCCCAGTGGGAGATTACTCCATCCACACAGTTTAGCGTAGATGGAGGAATCTGTTGCACTTTTTCCATCTGACCACAGAAAATCTGCAGATAATCTATAGGTGTATGGCCAGCTTTAGAGAGGAGACCTTGGTGGACTGGTCACACAGATGGAAAGAACCTCCTGGGATGAGGAATAAGGTGAGTATTGCACTCTAATGCCCGGAGTTCAGCTTTAGACAAATTACTTTATCAAGGTGACTGTGGCAACATAGTATAATTTATGGCAAATGTTTTGTTTATTCTTTAGCAGTATAAACCTGAAATAGTTTCTTTCTCTTTCCATTCTACCAATTTTTTGGGGGGCTTTAAACACTCATATAGGCATATTAAACTTTTAGCTTTACCAGTTTTTATCAAAAGTGTAAGAAAATTGTTTCCTTTTAAGGAAGAGAGCGGAGTGCTTTACCACTGGGAGATAAATGGACCTTTAACTAGTCAGAAGTAATACTGAAAAATGATGAGCTGTAAATCTATGATGGCTTTGCTTGCAGCGTAATTACTGTCTCTCTCTTTCTCTCTACTTTTCAGATGTACAGAATTGCACTACTCATCGGATCTTCCACCCACAAGCGTCATTATAACTTTTCACAACGAGGCGAGATCGACGCTGCTGAGAACCATCAGGAGGTAAGATGTCTGCTGCGACAAGAGGGTGCCCCGCACTTCCAAACTTTTCTCGAAGTTACCTTTCTTAGAGGTGACGATGCAGGCTATCGCCTTAAAGGCCGCTAATTAATACAAGACATGGAAATGAGAAAAAGCTAAAAAAATCCAACGCAGTGCCATGACAGTGAAGTTGAAGGTGGCGGGGAATGTGACAGTTTGTAAAAAGGAGCAGGCGACATTTTCCGTTGCGCTGTCTCAGTCTTTGCGTAGGGGGGAAAGACTGACCAATTAGCCACAGAGAAAACATGGAAACAGCAACACTGATAAAATACTTGTCAGCGAGGAATACCAAGCTTGGAGAGTGTTTTGTTTTTTATGCAGAAAAGTAACCAATTATAAAATATGTGAATGCAAATAATAATTGTAAAGAATGCAGGAGCTTACACCATGCAATGGAGGGTTTTAAAGTGTATGCCCACTCTTACAGTCAAAATTGAGAAACTCACCACTATATGTTTGTTATGCTATTCACACAGCCAGGGGTGTCCATAGCCTTGTCACCACCTGAGGTGAGGGGAGTCATTGCTGCTGGTGCACGCTTAAAGAAGGGGGGCTTGGTGGGGGTGGCTCCAGGGAGCCCACCAGAGACCCCGCACAGCCCACCAGAGACCCCGCACAGCCCAACAGAGACCCCTGCACAGCCCACTTGGGATCCTGCCAACCTGGCACCTTGCAGAGCCTACCTGAGACCCTGCACATATCAGAGACCCCGCACAGCCCACTTTAGACCCTACACATATCATAGACCCTACACTGCCCACCTGACACCCTGCAAAGCCCACTTAAGACCCCGCACATACCAAAGACCCCGTACAGCCCACCTCACACCATGCAGAGCCCACTTGAGACCCCTCACATATCATAGACCCTACACTGCCCACCTGACACCCTGCAAAGCCCACTTAAGACCCCGCACAGCCCACCTGACATCCTGCAGAGCCCACTTAAGACCCTGCACATACCCTAGACCCCATACAGCCCACCTGAGACCTTGCATAGCCCACCTGAGAGTGACCCTGCAGAGTCCACCATAGACTTTCTATGGTGGGCTCTGCAGGGTCTCTGGTGGGCTGGTCACACAACGATCTGCTGTCAGCTTGCTTCTGTGATGGACTACAATCTCAGTACAAATTAGTAAACTAAACACGAGATTGTAGTCCATCACAGGAGCGAGCTTGGAGCGATGACTACTTTACAACACACAGGGACCATGGGGAACAAAAGTAGTCACCCTCCAGAAGGAAGGACAGTGTCAGCAACAATTCAGAGATGATTTGAGGATCTACAACCTGAGTTTAGTGTCACTTTAATTTTTCGTTAGGGCAGACAGTGTTAAAATCTAGTTTACAGCTGATGATGAGATCTGCAAGCACAGTGCATAAAGGGTTAATTGCATTTTTCATTAACTCCCCAGCCCCAGAGGAAAGCTTATTCCAAAGAACATCTTTTTAGTACATAGAACAACTAGAAGCCTTCCAACGTGGACACCTGTTTCATTGGCAACATGGAAACATTTAGAGAGATTACCTAATGTTGTGTATCAGTTTTACAACAGATAAAGTTTTCTTTCAGTCTATCTTTCCCTTCTGAAACTGGGCGCAGATGGTCTGAAAATGCAGAGAGTGGGAGAGGGTAGAGGAGTCACTCCTCTGACTCATTTGGCTGTGTGTATAATTGTCAGCTTATCAACAAAACATTTTTTTAACAGAGGAGCTGAGAGCCCAGAAAACTGAAAGGGTAGCCATCAGCATTAACTGGTGGCAGCGTATGAAAAAACAATATATTTCTGAGCAATATTTAAAGCTGAACTCCGGGGACAAAAACTTTCATTTCAATGTATTCCTCAATAGCCACAAAGGATATAAATCCACTTTGTGTGCACCAGATGCCTTGCATAGCCTGTGCAGAAAGAATATTATTTAAAGAACAACTCCGGGCAACGTATTCTTAACCCTTGCAGTGGAGCTACCCCCGCACGGAAAGGGCTAAGGCCTAGTTCACACTTGGGCGTTTTACAGCTCGTTCCTACAGCACGTAGGAACAGCACGTTCCTACAGCACGTTCCTACAGCAGTAAAACGCTCAACATGTGAAAACCAATGATTGTCTATGGGCATGGTTCCCACCTGGGCGTTTTACAGCGCGTAGGAACTCGCTGCAAAACGCCCTACGCCCAAAGAAGTACAGGAGTTTCTTTGGGGCGTATTTGCTGCGCGTATCCATTAGAATACAGCAGGCTAGCCCTTGGAAACGCACGTTTGTCACGCATTTCTTATACCACAAATCACGGTAAAAACGTGCGGCACGAAACGCGCGACAAACGCGCATATTCCGTACGCCTAGGTGTGAACCCAGCCTTAGTGCTTGTTTTCACCTAGGGACAAAAATGACAAAGTTATACTCAGCTGAACCTCGGAGGCGGTTTGCTCTTAGGCTCCACTCACACATAGTGGTAGCATTAAAAACGCACGGAACGAAACCGTGCAAACGTTAACATACGTGCAGATTCCGCACGTTTGCAGCTATTACTATAGCCGGAACGTGCGGCATCCGCCTATAAAATTGCGCTTCGACTATTTCGCGGTAACAGAAGTCACCAGCACTCACATTATGGTGGGTCACTATATCGCCCTGAGGAAGGGACCCTGCACGGCCCCGAAACGTTGGCTCTATGACGCATGTGACGCATCAATAAAAGTGCTTATGCTTCTTTCACACTACAAGTGAGTGCTGGTGACTGCTATTATCGATTGGACTGTGGCACGGCGCCATCCGTGTCGTCACTTCGAGCACCAACAGTTATTTTATATGGTTTAAGCGCTGTATGGAGCGCAGGCGATTCACTAACGTTATTTTGACTATTTTGCTATTTTGCGGGGGGTGCGATTTCGTACCACACGGACGCCGCAATAGTCTGAACAATGCACATTGCAAAAATATGCGCGAAAAAACAGCCCGCGTGTGAATGGAGCCTTAGACTGGTTCCTGGAGCCTCTCTGCCCCTCTATTTCAGCGGTCTTAGGTCCTGTGAGTCATCACGTCCTTTACAGTGTATAGGTCATGAGGGTGCCAAAGAACATACCATTGCTGGAGCGGAGACAGGGTGCAGGGACCGATAGCCAGCCAGCTCCGAAGTACAGGTGAGTATAACTTTATTTTTACACCCTAGACAAAAACGAGCACTTAACTCTTGAAGTGCGGGCTTGCACCACTGCAAGGGTTAAGAATATGTTGCCCGGAGGTCGTTCTTCTTTAACTTACCAGCAACCACGCAAAACTAAAGTATTTTTTGGCGCATTTCTTGGCTACCTTCTCCATTCTTATAAATGACCCTCTATCGTTTAGCCATCGACATTGCACAGAGTTCCATCCACCTTTGTAAATAAATGTAATAAAAGTATTCTCCAGGAAAATAACTTTTATGTTTATTTCCCCGGTGAGTTGCAGAAAATAGATTGCAGTGAGCTATTTTTCTGGATATGGCTTTTTCTCTCTTATACTCATTGTAATAAGAATTGATGTCTAACGATAACGATATAAATGAAAGGGGGACCAGAGGTAATTGGAATACAGTATACTACACCTAATATTAATATATACAGTATATATACAATATTGATTTAACATTAATATATAATATTAATACAATAGTAATATATACTAACATATATATATTTGGGGCGGCTGGTGAATGTCCATTAATTCGCATCTCGCAGCAATAGCAGAAAAGAAAAAAAAAACTATAAAGCAATACATATAATATTATGAGAACAGCAAAGAGCACGGCCGCTCGGTGGCCGAGGAAGAGTCATTATCGCCTGACAGCGCTCTGCTCAAGGGAAAGAGTTACCGACCACAGGACGCGTAAAGACCTGCAGAAAATCGCTGCTCAAGGACGCTGGCTAAAATGGAAGACAAAATAAACATGTATAAAATATGGCAATCACTGTGGTATTAGGAGAAAGAACATTCCACAGGGCCAAAAAGGAAACATTTTAAAGGGGTTGTAAAGTCAGCCTTGGTTTATGACCTGTTCACATTTATTGCCTAACGTTTTAGCACCCCAACGCACTGTCACAGCGGCAGGCCAAGCATTTGCTCATGTTGTGCATCTCGGTGCACTGCATTAAAAAAAATAGGTCATGATAATGAATGAGGTGGCTTAATACAATATACGTTAAAGGGTCATTCCAATTTTCCAGGCACATTTGGGAAAATGGAATTACCCCCACCAATCTGCCACCTGCCTGCCATCCACCACTACTTTTACCTGTCAATGAACACTCCTTCCACTCCGCGGCTGCCAGTGTAGGACCCATACACTGTACACAGCAGCACAACCCTGCAGTCTTTTTTTTACATTCGCCTGACCACACTGACCAATGAGAAGCGCTTCGGACCATGCTGACCATTGCGACCAGAATTTAAAATACAGAGTGCAAGGCTGTACTGCTGTGTATGGTTTATGGGTCCTACACCAACAGCATGGAGGGGAAGGAGCATTTGTTGATAGGTAACAGCAACGGAGGGAGGAGGGGACAGATTGTTAGGTATAATTCCATTTTCCCAAATTCGCCTGGGAAAATGGAATTACCCTTTAAGGGCTGAAAGACATCTTTGTGATTGGATGTGCTATGAGAGTTAGCGTGTTGTGATGCTATTCATCTTGACTGGCACCCCAAAGCACTAAGCACATACATTACATGGCACCACATCTTGCGTTGTGGGGTGCTGTGATGGAAAAAAATGAAGCATATCGGTTTCCTATGCGATGGCAGGCCATTCAAAGTGCGTGGGCTGTTTCAATGGTTGACATGTGACACGAGGTGTGTTAAGCAATGCATAGAAGCGTGTGTGAATGGGTCCTTACAACAAACAGTGTGAATGGGCACTTACACTTTAAAAACCCCCAGGGTGCTAAAGGATCCTTCTAAGTGTGGGGTGTGTAAAAACACCACCCCG